GCTTAGCTAGCCAGTATAATAGAGATCAATACAATTAGTGGGGTGGTTAAATTATGTCTTGTTGTGTATTTTTTTGTAGGTGGTACAGAATCTGATTCCACCAACATGCGCTTCCATCCCCTCGCTCTGCACAAGGTGAAGGTAAGTTGGCCAAAATATTTACAAGCTGACGGCTAAGATAGCTCAATTTACAGTAACCATGGTATAAACATGAATTGGGTAGTGTTTGTATGGCTTGTGTTTGTGTTTGAGATTACAGGTGGTTAGAGGTAACCTGAGTAACACAGAGTACCTCCCAGACCATGTAATCAATTTAGTCTACCGTCTTCTCTTTTTACCTTTTCTTTTTGTAAAACTCAGGAGTCATTCCACAGTGCCCTGCTGGCATTTTGGGTACACAAGCATGAGGGAGCGGACACACCTTGTGGTTATGGAGCACAACAATATTGTGGGACAGAAACCAGCAAGGGACACTGAAAGGTATAAAATCAAGACTACAACAGTAATGACACAACCACCTCATTATTCTCTCTGCAGATTCTCAAAACACAATACAAAGACATGTCTACAAAATTCCCCTGCAAATGAGTGTTGTCATGATCAAACTGCCATTCAGCTCCTCATCTTCTTGAAATCCAGCATAATGTCTAATCGCTCGAGAGGGATACAGTTCACGGGATACAGTTTGTACAGTTTGAACAACAGTTGAACCGTGCCAGCATAACATCAACATTAGGGTAGACTAGTTGAACATGCATACATGTGCACAGGCAGAGAGAGTACAGTTACATCAATATCTAGCCTAATAGAAAGAAATATGGCATAACCCTCAACCATTGCACAGTGACCAGACAGTACAAATTAGCCTAGGTAGATAGGCAGACAGTATCTACCTACAGCCATGTCTATCAGGCATGCTTAGGCAAACATTTCTATAGTAAAACCAGCTTCAGTTTTAAAGATTTACAACAGTAAATTGTTGTATTATTGTTTCTCCTCACTATTTGCTAGTAAACTTAGCTAGCTAGCTGGCTGTAAATGCATTACTTGATATTTACATCTGTTGGGAATCCTATCTTGCGTCATGCCTATAATTCTGTAAGATTGAAATGCATCCAAGGTCATAATCATAACCAATGTCAACCCTTGTCAATTATGTTACATAGCTAGCTAGTAAAATTATTTCCAGTTGCTGATGTTACACGTTTGCTATCAGGTTACAAATGTGAGGCGTGGCACATAACAAGTTAGCAGGCACCAGTCTAACTAGCTAGCCAACTCAAGTCATGTGCTAACCTTTGCTGGTAAACCTAGCTTTAGGTGGGTGGTTGTAACGATGTAGCTTGCTGTTTAGTAGCGAGCCATATCTACGACATATCTATTGAGATACAAAAGATCTCTGATTGTAAAACCGCTTCTATTTTGTTGTTGTTTAGCTAGCTAACTTAGCTAGTTAGCTTGCTACATAGCTAGCTAAGTTAGCAAAGAGAAAAATAATTAGATTTCCCCCCACTGTAACACAGTAGTATGTTTGCCAGCAATACACAATATGGGTTTCAGTAGATAAACTAAAGTCAGCTAGCTAGCTAGGTGGCTTTTAGGAAAAATAACTTACTTAGCTAGGCACCGTATTTGTCATCTTCCCTCTTGGTGCTGGCATCGGCTCTAGCTGAGCTTCTAACATTAGCTAAATCCCACTCTTTGTTTCGAATCCTCTTCGCTATATTCCGGGTTGAAACGTGTACGTTGAATATCACCATGTAGCTAATAGATGCTCCATCGTTGAATTCGTGTTGATGAGAAGAATCACTTGAAGCCATAGCGTCTGGTCAGTTCTTTCAGTTTTGCCCAAAGGATTGTTGTTAGTGTCTGCCTCTTTTTAAAAAAAAAAGCCAGTCTTAGGGGAGGTACAGGTCTAGAGCACAAAGCACTTAACACAAGTTGTAGTCTTTTAGAGACTGGTAAAAATGTGTCTGCTTGTTTACTTAGAAATGAATCTGCCGATAGGAACATTGCTGAAAGATGTCCTATTTTTTTTATAGAACAAGGACAACCATATCTACACCCACAGAAATGTATAGTGCGATCAGTATAACATGGAGCCTTCACGAAATGCCACAAACCCCCTCCCCCCATCATCAATACACCGGAAGCCGTCATAGGGTGTATCATTCAGCGTGCGAAGCCCTGACCTGCCTTCCTCCTGAGCAATTATGTGTGAAACACATCTCACTGTCCTAGAAATGCCTCAGACATGATGAAAACAAGCCCAGATTCCCCCAGGGTGAAATTCCCCTTTAATACACGCTCCTCCGGCTCCGGAGACGTGCTCCGACCACCAACTGTCTGTCATGCACGCAGGGAAATAGATCACAAGCATAAAGAAGAAGAAAAACATCTTTAGAACTAATAATTGATAGCGTGCAATAATTAATGCAATTAATTTTATGCTTGAATATTATGAGTCCATTTAAGAGTCCTTCACAATCTAGTCCGGTTGTGGCCACAACCACACCTCATTTCAAATGTATCAAGAAATAAGTTAATCTTATTTGTATGCCTAGCAATCAACAAATGTACATTGTTTATAGCACATGTTTACATGTCTCAGTCACAAATGACAGCTCCAATAAGCCCCCTATGGTGAACGAGATGTGAACGAGAGACTTGTAGAATCATGACTCTCTCTATTTTTCAGTTAATCGTTTGCCATTAGGGGGTTCTGCGTGCTCTGGGCATTACTGACTCAAATTAACAAAATGAGTCAAACGATTTGTTATTTTGACTGAACGAGCCAGTAAAAAGAGCCAAACTTCCCATCACTACCTTGCACACCCCCTTTCCCCCTCTCTCTCCCAGAGAGGAAACAAAATAATCCTCTTGTTCCTCCATCCTCTCTTCTTTCTGATTGCCATGACTCCCTCCTCATTCCCATTCCATTATTGGATAAAGTTCTATGGATTAGCATCCGCTCTCCACCAATCCTGCAGTGACTTTACCCCGGCTGTGTGTGTGTGTGTTTGTGTGGTATGATGGCATGTTTGTATGTATGTATGTATGTTTGTGTGTGCGTGTGAGAGTGTGTGTGTGTGTGTGTGGTATGACGGCATGCCTGCGTTTGTGCTGGGCCATGTGTGTGTTCTGGGAGTGTGTCTCAGAGAGAGCTTCTGTAACAGTTCCTTTTTCCCAATGCCTCATTACCACTTCTTAGGCATAGTAATTACTAAGTGACACAGGTCCCTGCAAACCCCCTGCGTAAACATAAACACTAGCGCTGCCAGAGAGAGCAATTAAAACACAATTACTCTTCACTTGAGGACACGTTTGCAGAAAAGCGGAGCGATTAAGGGACTTAACAGTTACACTTTGAAGTATTCCATTTTTTAAGCATGTAAGATATTAGGTTTTTATAATTCATCGATTATCTTTATGTATATATTGTTTAGTATCTACATTTGTTCATTTGTACATATACAAAATCAAACTGGCATTGGAAAATGGTGTTTCCCCCTGCCTCTTCCTCTCTGCTGGAAGGAAGGCTAGCCTGCGTCCCACCCGATTCCCTATTTAGTGCACTACTTTTGACCAGGGCCCAGAGGGTTCTGGTCAAAGGTAGTGCACTATATCGGAATAGGGTGCCATTTGCGTGTGCGGTTGTGCCTCTTGCGTGATGCGGTTGTCTCTCAGACTGACACAGGTTAGTAGACACTGACCGCAGACTGTAGGAGCACATCTTCTGCTAGAGCTCTAGTGCTGATGGCTTCATTGTCCAAGAGTCCAATTGAGATCCACAGAATGTAGCCACTAGCCAACACAGAAAGAGTGACAGTACATGAGATATAGATACACACAGGCAAGAGAAGTGACTGCTACAGGGGGTATCCTACAAACCAAGGTCACAAGGATGGTGGAAGTCCGTGATCCATGGGAGAAACCTCGGTAACTTTACTTGACACTCAGCGTCATAACACGTTATGACACGGTCATAACCGTGTCATAATATGTCATAACAGCTGGCATAACGTGTCATAACCTGTTATAATATGGTCATAACACTGTCATGACACATATTTAGACCTGTTGTTACATATATTGTGTTATTTTATGGCTGGTTATGACACCTACATAAGAGTGTAAAAACCCACAAAACCTACCACACAAGACAAAACATTCCATTACACCATACGTGTCAACAGTATGTTTATGTTGTATATATTTTGTTTTTTAATTGACCATATTAAATTATCATTGTAATTGCAAACACGTTGATGTCAGATATACACCTACCCCAATGCTCTGTTGCTGATGACTGGGATGACTGCAGGAGCAGATTTCAGGAGCAGGACAAGACACCCTCTTTGTGACTGATGACTGATATAAGGGCATGTACGTGATAGGCCTTTCTGGCTTATATGATTAAGATGGTCATAATGCTTCTTGACAGTGTCATAAAGTATATTTTCTTAGTTCAAGTAAAGTGACACAGGATGGTCATAATGCTTCTTGACAGTGTCATAAAGTTATTTTAAAACAAAGGATTTAAGAAATAAACTTTCAAATGAAAGGAAACTTCTTGGCAGGGAAAATGAAACAAATTTTAATAAATGTGGGTTTTAGCACTCTTATAACCAGCCATAAAATAAAACAATATATATCACAACAGGTATAACTATATGGGTCATGACAGTGTTATGACCATATTATGACAGGTTATGACTGTGTCATAACATGTTATGAAACTGGCTGTCAAGTAAAGTGTTACTGAAATCTCATGGCAACCTCTCAACTTAGAGTGTAACTGTGTCCATGTCTAGTTGTGTGGGCTAAAGCTTGAATTAAAGCTGGAGGATAATGAGGAGGAGGGACCAAGGGTAGTTGGTAGATGAACCCATGTACAATACAGTATGTAGGCCTATGCCGCTTTGCCCCAACTCTGCCGCGCCTATACCTCCTCCCTTCTTCCTCCATGACAAGTCTCTCTCTTCCTCCTCTACTTCCTCCTATAGCGCCACGTTGAACTCAGTGACCAGGAAGTCCACGTGGTCCCTCTCGTTGGTCTTGAAGGCCTCTGCGATGAGGCGTGCGGCATCCCTGTGCTCCCGGCCCTTCAGGGAAACCCCGTTCACCTCCAGGATCACCTGACCCACCCGCAGCTGCCCGCAGTTATGCGCCGAACCGCCCCTCTGAGAGAAAGAAAGAGATTGTGGGAGAGAGAGAGCGCGAGAGAGAGGAAGACCAATAAAATTACTGATAAATAGAGCACAAACAGACGTCAAATGCTTGTTGGTGATTGGTCACTATTACAACTGCTAACGAACCAGGAAGCAAAAGGACCTTTGTGATCTCATCTCTCACCACAGTTCCAGTCCCACGGCTCTAAACTCATTATCTGCAGTTAGAGGGGTTTTAAATGCCATGCATTATCAGCATGATTATCACTATACGTTTTGTTATTTAGAGCATTATCAGTTCTCTTTTTTACTGAGCCGGCCACAATTACCCCCAGCCACTGGAGCGACATGGAGATGGCTGTGATAGGGACTGTAGCAGCAGCAGCTCAGGGAGAGTGATAGGGAGTGATAGTGGCCACAGTGGTGCCTTCACTCTAGAGGGCTACTCGCCTGGAACGTTCACCACATCGTAGACTGTGATGACTTGGGAGACTGAAGCTACTACAAGAGGAAAACTAGCGCGACTACTATAAGACTATTGTAGTGCTGTACAGGGCCATGGAGCACCAGCGGGACCTAGATATGATTCCGAAGTGTGTCATCCTGAATGAAATGAGCGTCTTAGGTGTTGTGAATGGTTGTGAATACTCTATATGTGTATAAGTGTGAGTATAGTGTGAGTAAGTAATCATTCAGGAATGTTGCTAGGGTATGATGTGACCTGAGCCCTGCTTACGTTGATTGATATGGCTTGTAGTCCAAGATGAAGTATGCGTCCCAATTATGGGCTTTGGTCAAAAGTAGTGCACTACATAGGAAACAGGGAGCCATTTGGGACGCATTATTCCATAGGGGATTTCTAGCCAATTAAAGCCCAGAGCCATATTAAACTTGCTGATAATGACATGGGTTCTTCGTTAGAGCTACAGTGGAATGGGAGAGGTTATGATTGGACCATCAAACCCCCCAACCAATTATGATGCTGATGAGGCCATATCCCCTGTGACTGATTGTGGACACTGTGATGTCATAGCAGGGGTGCGTGGCAACGCCACATTGAAATGAAAATCAGCCTGGTTGGCGAGCGCACTCGGATACTTTGTCCCGACTCCCAAGATAGTGAAAAGCGAAAACAGATAAATAAAGAGAAAGGGGGATGAGACTAAAGAGTGGAGAGCGTGTCCGTATATCATGGCTCATGCATTTTGTCTGTGCATTTCCATTACAGCTGTTGATGAGGAGAGCTACGGTACTGGAATTAAAACCCACTCATGCCTGTCTGTCGCTAGCCCACCTCTCCCTCTCTTCATCCCCTATCCCCCCTTCTCTGCACCCCTTTATTATTAACACAGTATACCATCTTCTCTTCTCTCTCTGTATATCTCTCTCCCCTCCCTCTCTCCCTCTCTCCCTCCCTCCCTTGCGCTCTTTGATTTTGAATATGCTGATTTCCCGGCAAGAGCCTTTGTCACTCTCCTCGCAATCAGCGGCTCTTTTATTTTTCATTAGCCTTTCACGCCGGTCTCACCAAAGCATCTTTCGAGCGGGGGCTTTCAGTGGTTCACTGAACTCAACAGAACAGCACAGCTCTCCTCTCTCCTCACTCTTTATGCTAATCAACAGAGACACAGACAAATCAGAGCAGAACAGAGCTACAGCCAGACTCGCTGTTATTACCCTCAGCTTCTTATAGCTGTGGCCTTCAGCCAAGGTGACAACACTTTTATTTCACATAATGGTCACTGCTCTCAGTGGATGTTATCTTTCAGGTAAAGGGAGAGAACATGCTCAACTCTTATCTTCTTGCGTAAACAAATGAAAGGGTGCTTGGAACAAAACCTAAAACATTTTGATGTGCTCTTAGAGTAAGCAATTCATGTCAAGCATCTGGCAAGGGTAAAAGGCGAAAGGGCGATTCCAACGCCAGCGTAGCCCGAAAATATACGGAGTATCTCAGATTGTTCTGGCAATTTTCACATAGAAACTTATTTGGGAGGAAAGATGTTTGATATGCTTTTTAGATTTGTACCACTTTTTTTTTATCATGATGAAAGTGGCCATTTTATGCCCTTTTTAGACATATACAGTGAGGGAAAAAAGTATTTGATCCCCTGCTGATTTTGTACGTTTGCCCACTGACAAAGAAATGATCAGTCTATAATTTTAATGGTAGGTTTATTTGAACAGTGAGACAGAATAACAACAAAAAAATCCAGAAAAACGCATGTCAAAAATGTTATAAATTGATTTGCATTTTAATGAGGGAAATAAGTATTTGACCCCTCTGCAAAACATGACTTAGTACTTGGTGCCAAAACCCTTGTTGGCAATCACAGAGGTCAGATGTTTCTTGTAGTTGGCCACCAGGTTTGCACACATCTCAGGAGGGATTTTGTCCCACTCCTCTTTGCAGATCTTCTCCAAGTCATTAAGGTTTCGAGGCTGACGTTTGGCAACTCGAACCTTCAGATCCCTCCACAGATTTTCTATGGGATTAAGGTTTGGAGACTGGCTAGGCCACTCCAGGACCTTAATGTGCTTCTTCTTGAGCCACTCCTTTGTTGCCTTGGCCGTATGTTTTGGGTCATTGTCATGCTGGAATACCCATCCACGACCCATTTTCAATGCCCTGGCTGAGGGAAGGAGGTTCTCACCCAAGATTTGACGGTACATGGCCCCGTCCATCGTCCCTTTGATGCGGTAAAGTTGTCCTGTCCCCTTAGCAGAAAAACACCCCCAAAGCATAATGTTTACACCTCCATGTTTGACGGTGGGGATGGTGTTCTTGGGGTCATAGGCAGCATTCCTCCTCCTCCAAACACGGCGAGTTGAGTTTATGCCAAAGAGCTCGATTTTGGTCTCATCTGACCACAACACTTTCACCCAGTTCTCCTCTGAATCATTCAGATGTTCATTGGCAAACTTCAGACGGGCATGTATATGTGCTTTCTTGAGCAGGGGGACCTTGCGGGCGCTGCAGGATTTCAGTCCTTCACGGCGTAGTGTGTTACCAATTGTTTTCTTGGTGACTATGGTCCCAGCTGCCTTGAGATCATTGACAAGATCCTCCCGTGTAGTTCTGGGCTGATTCCTCCCCGTTCTCATGATCATTGCAACTCCACGAGGTGAGATCTTGCATAGAGCCCCAGGCCGAGGGAGATTGACAGGTCTTTTGTGTTTCTTCCATTTAAGAATAATCACACCAACAATGTCACCTTCTCACCAAGCTGCTTGGCGATGGTCTTGTAGCCCATTCCAGCCTTGTGTAGGTCTACAATCTTGTCCCTGACATCCTTGGAGAGCTCTTTGGTCTTGGCCATGGTGGAGAGTTTGGAATCTGATTGATTGATTGCTTCTGTGGACAGGTGTCTTTTATACAGGTAACAAGCTGAGATTAGGAGCACTCCCTTTAAGCGTGTGCTCCTAATCTCAGCTCGTTACCTGTATAAAAGACACCTGGGAGCCAGAAATCTTTCTGATTGAGAGGGGGTCAAATACTTATTTCCCTCATTCAAATGCAAATACATTTATAAAATTTTTGACATGCGTTTTTCTGGATTTTTTTGTTGTTATTCTGTCTCTTACCGTTCAAATAAACCTACCATTAAAATTATAGACTGATCATTTCTTTGTCAGTGGGCAAACGTACAAAATCAGCAGGGGATCAAATACTTTTTTCCCTCACTGTACATGCCTCCTGTAAGACTCTATGATCCGTGAACCGTACATGATACAGACAACATCTTGGTGTCATTATACTCCTTATAGTGTGCTCTCAAACATGAAGTACGTCTAGATAAAAAAATAAAATAATTCACATTCATTTATTCAATATTAAAAATATGCATGTTAATATCTCAAAAGCACCCTTTTTGATTGTGCTTATTTTTAGGCATGCTGATTGAAACGATATACTCTGCAAACACGTCAAATGTCCAGAGTGGGCTCTCTGGTACTTTTGTAGATTTAACCCATTTTATACATTAGGAACACCTTAATATTGAGTTGCACCCCCTTTTTCCCTCAGAACAGCCTCAATTCGTCGGGCATGGACTTTACATGGTGTCGAAAGCGTTCCACAGGGATGCTGGCCCATGTTGACTCCAATGCTTTCCACAGTTGTGTCAAGTTGGCTGAATGTCCTTTGAGTGGTGGACCATTCTTGATACACACGGGAAACTGTTGAGCGTGAAAAACCCAGCAGCGTTGCAGTTCTTGACACACTCAAACCGTTGCGCCTGGCACCTACTACCATACCCTATTCAAAGGCACTTCAATATTTTGTTATGCCCATTCACCCTTTGAATGGCACACATACCCAATCCATGTCTCAATTGTCTCGAGGCTTAAAAATCTCCCCTTCAGCTACACTGATTGAAGTGGATTTAACAGGTGAAACAAATGTAAAAAGCATATCAAATCATCCTTCCTCCCAATGAAGTTTCTATGTCAGAATTGCCTGAACAATCTGAGATACCAAAAATATTTTCGGCTATCTTCAACTAGTCACACTCTGTTGTGTAGCCATGTGTGGAAGAGGAGGAGGCACGGGCCAATGACAGTGCAGAGTCGCAGAACAGTACCATGGTTGGATCATTTCTGACAGGTGCAGGGGATTGCCTGGCAAACTGTCATTTCGGAGATGACTTGAGATGGAGGGGTGAGGAGGGATGTTAGGCTGTTTGACACCCACCTGTATGGTGACGATGCGTGGCAGGGGCTGGCGAGTATTGGCACCCCCTTCGATTGCGATGCCGAGGGTGCTGGCACTCTTTGCCACCCTCACTAGTGTGGAGGTGGGCTCCAAGAGACCCGGCTGCAAAAAGAGAGAGAGGGTGGATAATATAACTCTGCTTTTTACTGAAATATTCACCTTGGAGAGCCTGGTCTGACCATGTACACTTTTCTTTTGCACCTTTGTTACCCATTAGCCCACCCACAAAGTTTGGAACAAATCAACAATTTCCCTTCCACCCAACCACCAATCGGCAATAAGCATAAAGGGACAGAGTATACGAGAGACCTCTAGCGCAGTATGAGATGAGATGTGATTGAATGGATGAGAAATCATTGAAAGGACATAGAAATGAATCAACGAGCAAAGAAAGAAAAACTATGTGCATAAAGAGAGAAGAAAACAGAATGAAATCACAGTAAGGATTGAGAACGAGCTCCAAGACAATGGGAGCAGTGACAGAGGACTACTCAGCTCTATTTCTCTTCTTGTCATCCCTCACTTTCAGCTTCCTCCATCCATCCATTCATCCACCCATCCATCCCTCCATCCATCTCCCTCTTTTCTCTCTCTGTGTCTTCTCTCTTCCCGCTGGTGTGTCCTCCTCACCGGTTTGGCGGAGGTGTCCCCTCCTGCCCCCTGGGGGTCTCGTGGGGGGCGTAAGCGGGCGGGACGGGGACTGCTTTCCTTGCTGAAACGTCCTGACTCGCCAATGTCCACCCCGCTGTCCTCGCTCAGCGTCTGTCCACTGTCTGACAGCTGGGACAGGTTGGCACCTGGGGGGTGGGGGGATGGGTGCAGGAGGTTAGATACTGGCACAGGGACACACTCAGGTAGAAACACATACACCCATGAGTACACATAGACATGCACTTTCTCTTATTTGTGTAACCAATCCTTTGCGTCCAAATCAGGTCTCATGGTTTTCGGAGTCCAACCTCCAACCTCCTCCCTTCAGTAATCCTGGCTGTCCCCCATGCCTCTTACCTCGTGCCTGGGGCAGTGACCGCACCTCGTTGACATCAGACTCTGCGTTGGGCCTATGGACCTCCACCATGACAAAGTGCTGTTTGTTGGAGCCAGGGGAGGACTTGTCCTGGCTGTGGGGAAGCGGAGGGGGTGCGGATGGGGCAGTGAGCGGCGGCGGAGGGGGTGGAGATGGAGAGGGGGCGGCAGGCTTGGTGGTCCTAGTAGGGGACTGGACTCGGGGGAAGGGGCCTATGGGGTGCTTGTTGACCATGGAGAGCTGGGCAGTTGCCATCTCCTTCTTAGGGGGGACTGAGGGATCCTTTTTGGGGGGGACCTTGGGTAAGGAAGGGGGCCCTTGGTCCCCCCTCTGGTCAATGGGGGGGTTACGGGAGGAGGCGGTGAAGTAGAGCCCAGAATGGGAGGATTCGGAGGAGGGGAGCTTTTTGACCTGGTCCCGTCTGCTGGGGTGCCTCTGCACCCCTGGAGGGGGTGGGGGTTTGAAGGTGGGGGGAGATTCGGACGTGGAACGCACCTCATCCTAAGGTAAGAGGAGAACAAATAAATCACATTCCCCTCATCCCACAAAACACTCTTATACTACAGCACATCTCATTATTCCACACACACCACCAACTTTCACACAACTCAATTAGTCTGGCCAGGACTCAGTTGAGCCCTACAGCTAAACATGGTCACTGTGTAACCTCAGGTTACACCTTCCCAGTCCGCGGCAACACGCTCTCCCCTCCAAACAAAACCAACGGTGAAATGAACAACAATGAAAACAGCAACATGAGTGGCCAGAATGAATGAAGTGATTGGTAAAAAATGTAAATAAGAGAAAGCAATCAGAACTAACACAAATATGTTCTGGCTGAATGGAGTTCAAGTGTTTTTAAGACTCTTCAGGTCTCTGCTTACAGTGTCCCACATTAGATCACATTGGTACCAACACAACCTCCCCACAACATCAGTTACCATTGCTCTGGTAAACGTGGTAGGTGATTATAGCTTTTACCTCAGGTGTCAAACAGAGAACTAGTTCCTCCTTAGTAAGGAGGGAGGAAGAGGAGGAAGAGGAAGAGTGTGTGCACTAATATCTAACTCTAAACAGACTCCTCCACAGGAAAGAACGAAAGAAAGAAATAAAGATTCTTCAAAGTAGCCAGCCTTTGCCTTGATGACAGCTTTGCACACTCTTGGCATTCTCTCAACCAACTTCATGAGGTAGTCACCCGGAATCCATTTCAATCCTTGACTTCGGCGATGTCATTTACAAAATAGCCTCCAACACTCTACTCAGCAAATTGGATATAGTCTATCACAGTGCCATCCGTTTTGTCACCAAAGCCCCATATACTACCCACCATTGTGACCTGTACGCTCTCGTTGGCTGGCCCTCACTACATATTCGTCGCCAAACCCACTGGCTCCAGGTCATCTATAAATCACTTCTAAGCTAATCCCCGCCTTATCTTAGATCATTGGTCACCATAGCAACACCCACCCGTAGTATGCGTTCCAGCAGGTATATCTCACTGGTCATCCCCAAAGCCAACACCTCCTTTGGCCGCCATTCCTTCCAGTTCTCTGCTGCAAATGACTGGAACGAACTGCAAAAATCTCTGAAGCTGGAGACACTTATCTCCCTCACTAACTTTAAGCATCAGTTGTCAGAGCAGCTTACCGATCACTGCACCTGTAGACAGCCCATCTGTAATTAGCCCACCCAACTACCTCATCCCCATATTGTTATTTACATTGTTATTTATTTTGCTCATTTGCACCCCAGTATCTCTATTTGCACATCATCTTCTGCACATCTATCACTCCAGTGTTAATACTAAATTGTAATTATTTTGCACTATGGCCTATTTATTGCCTTACCTCCATAACTTACTACATTTGCACACACTGTATATAGATGTTCTATTGTGTTATTGACTGTACGTTTTGTTTTTGTTTATTCCATATGTAACTCTGTGTTGTTGTTGTTTTTATCGCACTGCTTTGCTTTATCTTGGCTAGGTCGCAGTTGTAAATGAGAACTTGTTCTCAACTGGCTTACCTGGTTAAATAAAGGTGAAATAAAATATTTAAAAAATTAACAGGTGTGCCTTGTTAAAAGTTAATTTGTGGAATTTCCTTCTTAATGCGTTTGAGCCAATCAGTTGTGTTGTGACAAGGTATTGGGGGTATACAGAAGAGAGCCCTATTTGATAAAATACCAAGTCCATATCATGGCAAGAACAGCTCAAATAAGCAAAGAGAAACGACAGTCCATCATTACTTTAAGACATAAAGGTCAGTCAATACGGAACATTTCAATAAAGTTTCTTTAAGTGCAGTTGCAAAAATCATCAAGCGCTATGATGAAACTGGCTCTCATGAGGACCGCAACAGGAATGGAAGACCCAGAGTTAACTCTGCTGCAGAGGATAAGTACATTAGAGTTACCAGCCTCAGAAATTGCAGCCCAAATAAATGCTTCACAGAGTTCAAGTAACAGACACATCTCAACATCAACTGTTCAGAGGGGACTGTGTGAATCAGGCCTTCATGGTTGAATTGCTGCAAAGAAACCACTACTAAAGGACACCAATAAGAAGAAGAGACTTGCTTGGGCCAAGAAACATGAGCAATAGACATTAGACCGGTGGAAATCTGTCCTTTGGTCTGATGAGTCCAAATGTGAGATTTTTGTTTCCAACCGCCGTGTCTTTGTGAGATGCAGAGGAGTTGAACAGATGATCTCCTCATGTGTAGTTCCCACTGTGAAGCATGGAGGAGGAGGTGTGATGTGATGGTGTGGGGGTGCTTTGCTGGTGACACTGTCTGTGAATTCAAGGCACACTTAACCAGCATGGCTACCACTGCATTCTGCAGCGATACGCCATCCCATCTGGTTTGCGCTTAGTGGGACTATCATTTGTTTTTCAACAGGACAATGACCCAACAAAACCTCCAGGCTGTATCAGGGCTATTTGACCAAGAAGGAGAGTGATGGAGTGCTGCATCACAATCCCCGGACCTCAAACCAATTGAGATGGTTTGGGATGAGTCGGATGGCAGAGGGAAGGAAAAGCAGCCAACAAGTGCTCAGCATATGTGGGAACTCCTTCAAGACTGTTGGAAAAGTATTCCAGGTGAAGCTGGTTGAGAGAATGCCAAGAGTGTGCAAAGCTGTCAACAAGGCAAAGGGTGGCTATTTGAAGATTCTCAAATATAAAACGTACTTTGATTTGTTTAACACTTTTTTGGTTACTACATGATTCCATATGTGTTATTTCATAGCTTTGATGTCTTCACTATTATTCTACAATGTAGAAAATAGTAAAAAATAAAGAAAAACCCTTGAATGAGTAGGTGTGTCCAACCTTTTGACTGGTAGTGTATATATATATATATATATATATATATATATAAAACTGCATATCCGTCATTTCCTCTCCCTCGCTCTTTCATTTCCAGTCTTGTTGTTTTTTCCCTATCCCTCCATCCCTCCCTCCGTCTTCTGCTCTGTCCATCTTTATGAGGTTGTGGGTCTGGGTCTGACTGCAAGGCTCACCAGAGATATGTCAGGTAGCGCATCCAGACTCTCCTGAGTATCCCCCCCATTACTCTCCACCGTACTGTCATTCTGAGAGAGAGAGAGAGAGAGAGAGAGAGAGAGAGAGAGAGAGGAGAGAGAAAGAGGGGGAGGGGAGAGAAAGAGAGTGAGAGACAAGTGGATATAGAGAAGAGAGAGGAGGGGATAGAGAGACAGAGAGAGAAAGAGGGGATGGAGAGAAAGAGAGAGAGAGGTGAGGGGATAGAGAGAAGCGAGAGCGGAGAGGAGAGAGAGGAAAGACGGGGAGAGAGCAAGCGAGAGGGAGAGTACGTGAACAGATGACAAACACAGCTTCTTGTTTATTCCAAAGCAAATGTTGATCCAAATTGCATTTCGTAGGAGTTGTTCCATCTCTCAGAGGGAGGAAAAATAACTCAATATCATTGTAAAATCTACCTTCCAATCTCTATATCACAACTTAAAATCTCTAAGCTTGGAAAGCAATACTACACGTGGGTATTCGGCACACACACACGGCACACAACCAAGAGTGCAAACACATGAATTGAAACAGAAGATATCTTCATGGTGTTGTTCACTGTCACTGAGTTCAGAGCAGCAGTGCCCTTCATTAAACTATGCCTGTATCAAAACAAAACCCTATCAATTCAGCCTAATTATACACTCACTGTCGGCACGGGGAGTACTTACCACCAATACATTTACTGCAATAGTTCCTACCTTGTACATGTGCATGGTGAGAGGAAGCTGTTTATTTATCTATGTGTGTGTGTGACAGAGAGAGAGAGAGAGAGAGAGAGATAGAGAGAGAGAGAGAGAGAGAGAGAGAGAGAGAGAGAGAGAGAGAGAGAGAGAGAGAGAGAGAGAGAGTGGGAGAGTGTGTGTATGTGAGTGCACAAACATGATCAGCTGTAAGTGTGTCTGTGTCTGCATGTGATTGGGTTTGTGACTTTACACCTCATTTTGTGTCTAGTTGATAAATCCGATGTTTGTGATCCCCCACCTCGCTAATCTCTCCAAAAAGTAGCAGCAGCATTCAACTGTGACTCAAACATCAACAACTATAAGCTGGGCCACAGTCCAGACCACACACACGCACATGCACGCACACACGCACACACACACACATATACACTCACACACGCACAGGTCTGTAGGTCTGGCCTCGTCCATGGTGTACTATGGTAAGCAGCTGCAGCTTATCTCAACTGTCAGCTTCTCCTCTAAGTCCAGAGTTTACTGAGTGTGTGTGTCTGTGTGTGTGCGCGTGTTTGTGTGTATGTGTGTTTGCATGTGCCTTGGTGTGTGTGTGTGTGTACGTGAATGCCTGTGTGTGTGTGTGTGTGTGTGTGTGTGTGTGTGTGTGTGTGTGTGTGTGTGTGTGTGTGTGTGAGTGCATGTGTGAAATAGCCAGTTAATAGTGTTGTACTCTGGTCTGTGCCCCAGAAGGAGACATCCATAGTGGACAGGACAGCAGCAGGTTAGTCTGACTGTCTGTAATTAGTCCTGCTGAAACAATGTGTTTGTATGTACTGCGAATAGGGAAACACATACACACACGCATGCAAGCATATACACTCGCATGCACGTGTACACTGGACGCACGCACACTCACATGCGCACATACGCAGACACGCACACACACCAACACACACAGTCATGTTTCACTAACCTTGTTGGGACACACAATTCAAAATCCTATTTTCCCTAACCCCTAACCCTAACCCCCGAACCTAACCTTAACCCTACACCTAACCCTAACTCCTAACCCCTAAACTTAACCTTTAACCCCTAAACCTAAACCTAATTCTAACCCTAACACTAATTGTAACCTTAACCCTAAACCCCCTAGAAATAGCCTTTTTCATGGTGGGGACCGGCAAAAAAGTATAGTTAAACATGTCCACACACACACACAATACACACAGGGATACACAGAAATGTTCAAAAAGACAGTCACATCAACAGAAAAAAGTTATTTACATTGTCTTTATGCAACCTGACAAGTGAATGCAGACTAAAGCACTCCAAACCATATTAACTTCAAACATAGAGGCAGAGAATCACTGCAAATGGATGCAAAAGAAGAGTATTGGCAACAACTCCTACCTCCATCATATCTATCAACCACAGCAGTCTTTCCTGGGGGGTTGAAAAGGGAGAGGGGAGTCGGTGTTAAACGTAAGAGGTTCCTAGATAAATACGTCTCTTTCAGCTCGATTGAAGGGTTTAGGCCAGGGTTTTATTTGCCCCCCACCCCCAAGTTTTCTGACCAAAAGAAAATAATGTGTGGAATTTTAATTGTTGGACATAAAAGATACACCAGGAAATCAGCGTTTTGATTTTAATTTAAGAAATCTGTTCCCAAGTATTCCCACGAGACGTGATCGTATACTAATGTAAGCAAGGTTTGAAATAATTATGTTTTAGTCTAACATTATATCTGTTTGGGCTTCTTGCGGTCAGTTTGCCCTCTACAAATGATTTGTAATTACGTTCCGGCCCCCCGAACATCCGCTCCAGAAAAAATCCAGAACCCCTTGTCCTTGCCCCATGCACTCCGAGGAACGATATGTCATCATAACAGCTCTATCCTCTACACCTCATCAAACAGGGACTCCTTTAAATAGGTCTGCTTCGAGACAAAAGTGACAGCTAAAAAAGAGGAGTGACTCAGACTCTCACAGACATACAGACAGACAGACGGATGGACAGACGGCCAGACAGACGGACACGGCAGCCTGACAGGGACAGACAGACAGCCAAAGCCAGACAGACAGTTTGGGTCCACTGCGGCCCAGCCTTCCTACCCGTGCTGAGCTGAGGGTGGTGGAGGTCATGTAGCTGGCTGACGAGGAGGCCAGGGTATCTGGGTAGGAGACCATGGAGAGGGAGTCAGGGTGGAGGGCGGCCGCACTGGCACCCCCCTGCCGGGCCTTCAAAGCCTGGATCTCGCGGCGCAGCACCATCCCATCGAAACGTTCCAGATCCTGGGGAGTCACCAGGCCACGCACCTCTGATAGCAGGGAGAACTAAAAGGAGGGGTGGGGGAGGGGAGGGAGACAGGGTTCTAGAGTTATAGGGAGCTATAACATGCATCAGGATACCATGAGGAATGAAGACTGCAACAGAACAAAACAGTTTAAAGCACTTTACCAATTGTGAATTCAATACATTTGATAAACAATTGTTTAATATGAGGTGCAGGGCTAGGGCATTGACAGAAAGACAAGTGGCTTTCTAATATACTGAGAAAAATAGATGTCTGAGCATCCACAAAAGCCTTTACATATATCATGGAAAGTCTCACAAAACGTGCCATTCAAGTGATGGATGTATAGAGAAAAGACAAGCAATCACCATAAGTATTACGAGTAAGGGAACACAGGAACGCACTACATAATGCACCTCACAACAACTCACTCACGCATGCACACACACACTAACACACACACACAAAACACACCTGAATTTGTCTTTCCCTGTTTCTTGCATACGTATGCACACACGATTCCCTCTCACACACACACACACACACACACACACACACACACACACACACACACACACACACACACACACACAAAATACAGACCCACACCCATCCACCCACCCACACCAACACACCACGCTGTCTCTCCACAATCACTCCTCACCTTGGCGTGTGTGTTGAGCAGTTCAAACAGGGCCATGACCAGTTGCTCCACCCCTATGTGTCCGTCCCGGTACTCCTCCACGTAGTAGCCCATGGTCTGCCTCTCTGTCTCTGTCAGCAGGTGGCGGGCCTGCTCCTCCAGCATGGCTCTGCTCTGGTTTACCAGGCTGGACAGGGTCACCTGGGAGCCTGCCATACCCTTATAGAACACCGGCTGGAAGGGGAGGTGGGGGGGGGGGGGGGTGAGGAGGAGGGTTGGAAAAGGGACAAGGTCAGGGAGAAATGTGTGTGTGTGTTTGTATGTGTGTGTGTGTGTGTGTGTGTGTGAGAAGAAGGTGGTGAGAAGTAGGGAGGTGACACAGGCGAGACCCAGAGGTGAGGGGGGAGGTATGTGTCAGGCAGGAAATGAGAAATTAGAAACAAAGGGACAGAAGAAGAACAAAGAGAGAGAGAGAGAGAGAGAGAGAGAGAGAGAGAGAGAGAGAGAGAGAGAGAGAGAGAGAGAAATCATGTACATGCCGTGCATTTGTCATTCCTCATCATCCATCCATCCAACCCACAGCTGGCATGGAGGGGCCAGAGTATATCAGTCTAACACTGGGCACTAAGGCTCTCATCTCTACCACAGAACCACAGCCCACGCTATGTAACTGCCCTTCTCTGTGCCACTGCCAGCTCAGCCAATCCAATCAATTCACTGAGCGATGGCACCCCGGCACTTGAGAAATAGATGAGTATTGTACTCCAAATTAATTCTCTCTCTCTCTCTCTCTCTCTCTCTCTCTCTCTCTCTCTCTCTCTTCACGAGCAGCTTTTCTTTAATTAACTCCTTAATCAAAGACACCACTTCAAAGTCACCAGCAGCAAGGCTATGTGTAAGAGAGAGAAAGAGAAAAAAAGATGGGGAGAGAGTGAGAGAGGGAAGGAGAGAGAGAGAGAGAGAGAGATAGATATGGGAGAGAGAGAGTGAGAGAGAGAGGTCTAACCTGTAGTCCATGTTAAACTTAGACTCATATCTAACCTGTAGCCAATGTTAAACTAAGACCCATTAATAATCAATCAAATACTACAATGACCAGTGTGCTGTTGGATTCTGTGGCTACATCCCAAATGGCACCATATTCCCTACGTAGTGCACTACTTTTGACCAGGGCTCATGGAGCTCTGGTCAAATCTAGTGCACTGTGTAGGAAATTGGGTGCCATTTGGGACACACACTGGGTCTTTGTCATTCTCCTCTGATAAAGTGAACTGTGCATTCTGCCAGACTCTCTGTATGCATTCTGCCAGACAAGATGACTGTTCACTTTATCAAAGGCATCAACTACAAGCACCACTGACCACATTCCAATGAATACCCAGAGAGAGGGATAGGACCAAAACAAGACGAGATGGAGACCACACAAGACAAGGGAGATATGCTCTCATCTCACTGCTTACAGGTCAAATTCACACCACAGCACTGTCTAGCACTCTGTTGTAAATCAATGTTGTAGATCAATGTAGATCAATCCACTTTGATAGTAGGATCAAAGTGTTTATATTAAAACTTCATGACACTGCTACTAGGGCCGTAACTACATATGAGGACACCGAGGTCTGGACCTCGGCAATTTTTGAAAAACTGTTTTGGGGGGAACTCAGTTGGGGTCTTAACTTCCTGTTGAGAGTTAGAATAGTAGAATACACATGGTTGCAATTTTGAAAATTAGTTGTAATTAGGTGTTATATGTCACTCACTCAATTAGCCCATGTCAGTAGATTTTTTAGATTGTTAAATTAGTCTAGCCAGCTATCTAAACTTGTAGTAATCATAGCGAATTACCGAGCGGGCATGCAGGGCACATGCCCATGGGCCCTGACCTCCAGGGGGCCCCCATTGATTTTGATATCATACTAACATGGCATCTCATGGAACAATTTGTAGAATTGCAGGAAATTAGCTTTAAAACTGCAAAGAAATCTCCCCACTCCATGTCAAAAAGTGTAGAATTGCAGGAAATTAGCACAACATTTATTTTTTTCACTTTCTATCATACTTTTTCTGCTAACAGATCCTTCTGTATGTATTAAATTATAGTTTTTAATCCCAGTGCTGAGTTAATGTGAGTTAATGTGGTGCGGCTAATTGTATAGCTAATAGGCTATATGTTTGTAGATCGACTGAGGTGAATGAAGCAACAGCAACTAATGTGATAAATGCTGGGGTAATTTTTCCTTGTTTTTGCTGTTCTCCAAATATAATTTTAGAGTTTTTTAAATGTAAAGAAATGTAGTAAATGAGCTTCAACTTTCTTAAAATGTCTTGGATGGGGGAGCCTGTTCGGACCTCAGTAAAACTCAGACCCTGCTAACGGCCCTGACTGCTACTAAAAGTACTGGATGGGGAAAGCAACATACCGGTAGTGGAGTCCAGTATCCACCGAAGTAATTTGACGTTTCACATGGCAGATCAGTCAGAACTAAGAAATGGACATAAACTAGGAAGACGAACTAACGCTAGGACGTGGGAAGGATGCATCATTAGGAAACCAGTGTGAAGTGTGTTTGGTCTATTTCCCTGCCTGTCCTAGCATCTCTGTCACAGTATGGACTGTTCCATACATGGTCTCCGACCACTACTTTGTATCCTTTTCTCTCTCGCTCTCCTCCTCTACTCACTCTGCCCCTACTCAGATGGTAATGTGCCGTCGCAACCTTCGCTCTCTCTCTCCCGCTACTCTCTCCTCTTCCATCCTATCATCTCTTCCCTCTGCTAAATCCTTCTCCCTCCGATCTCCTGATTCTGCCTCCTCAACCCTCCTCTCCTCCCTTTCTGCATCTTTTGACTCTCTATGTCCCCTATCCTCCCGGCCAGCTCGGTCCTCCCCTCCTACACCGTGGCTTGACGACTCATTGTGAGCTCACAGAACAGGGCTCCGGGCAGCCGAGCGGAAATGGAGGAAACCTAGACTCCCTCCTCTCTACATTTTCTTCCTCTGTTTCTGCTGCAAAAGCCACTTTCTACCACTCTAAATGTCAAGCCTATGCCTCTAACCCTAGGAAGCTCTTTGCCACCTTCTCCTCCCTGCTGAATTCTCCTCCTGCTCCCCCTCCCTCCTCCCTCTCTGTGGATGACTTCGTCAACCATTTTGAAAAGAAGGTTGACGACATCTGATCCTCATTTATTAAGTCAAATGACACCGCTGGTCCTGCTCACATTGCCCTACCCTATGCTTTGACTTCTTTCTCCCCTCTCTCTCCAGATGAAATCTTGCGACTGTTTTCTCTAGCGGGAGGTAAGCTTGGCTTCTTATATGGTGTCGAGTAAAGCTTAAACCATGTATTTAGATTGTAGGTAGGTATTGTAGTTAGGTACTGTAGGTAGTTTATCTAGGTAGTTATTGTAGGTTATTGTAGGTAATTATTGTAGGTAAGTATTGTATTCGGCTGAGCCAGGTGAAGCACGAGACTAGCTAACCCACTACCTGGACCAATAAAGCTAGCTAGCTAGCGGGTAGCTACTGGTAACTATTAGCAACTGTGGATAGTTGTTTCCAATGTTATTTCACGCTTAAGAGTACCTGTAATTATGCCAGCTAGCTACCTACCATTCAGCTGTTTTTCTAACCTCATTATCTGAAGCGTTAACATTAGGTAGTTATTAGCTACTGTACTTGAAATGTAGCTAGCTTGTTGCTACCTGGATAGCTAACTAAACAATAGCTGGAACGACCTAGCTGTAATATTTGGAGACGCTTTCTCTCCGTTGGGACAGACGTGAACTGGCTAAATCGATTCAGTGGCTAGCTTTGCACTTAACTGGCTAACAGTAGCTACTAAGGGTAAGTTATAACCTACATATATTTTTGTTTTGTTTTTACATACTGGTAACACGTTAGCTAGCTTAATAAACTAAGTTAGAGTCTATTCCTAGAAAACATTGAACCGCTGTAGTTTACAACAATTATAATTTCTAAAGTGGAAGTTGGGAGAGTTATATTTGAGTGTTTCAGTGAAACGTAAGTGAGGGAGGCCCCGATGTTTAGTTAATTTCATTCCGATCTCCTTTGCATTATTGTAGCCTTTTTCTGTTGCCTGTCAACTATGTGTCTGTCTATCCCTGTTCTCTCCTCTCTGCACAGGCCATACAAACGCTTCACACCGCGTGGCTGCTGCCACTCTAATCTGGTGGTCCCTGCGCGCATGACCCACATGGAGTTCCAGGTGTCCGGCAGCCTCTGGAACTGCAGTTCTGCGGCCAACAAGGCAGAGTTAATCTCAGCCTATGCTACCCTCCAGTCCCTCGACTTCATGGCGCTGACGGAAACATGGATTACCACAGAAAACACTGCTACTCCTACTGCTCTTTCCTCGTCTGACCATGTGTTCTCGCATACCCCGAGAGCATCTGGTCAGCGCGGCGGTGGCACAGGAATCCTCATCTCTCCCAAGTGGACATTCTCTCTTTTTCCCCTGACCCATCTGTCTATCTCCTCATTTGAATTCCATGCTGTCACAGTCACTAGCCCATTCAAGCTTAACATCCTTGTCATTTATCGCCCTCCAGGTTCCCTTGGAGAGTTCATCTCTTCCCTCTGCTAAATCCTTCTCCCTCCAATCTCCTGATTCTGCCTCCTCAACCCTCCTCTCCTCCCCTTCTGCATCTTTTGACTCTCTATGTCCCCTATCCTCCCGGCCGGCTCGGTCCTCCCCTCCTGCTCCGTGGCTTGACGACTCATTGCGAGCTCACAGAAGAGGGCTCCGGCCAGCCGAGCGGAAATGGAGGAAAACTAGACTCCCTGCGGACCTGTCATCTTTTCACTCCCTCCTCTCTACATTCTCTTCCTCTGTTTCTGCTGCTAAAGCCACTTTCTACCACTCTAAATTTCAAGCCTCTGCCTCTAACCCTAGGAAGCTCTTCGCCACCTTCTCCTCCCTGCTGAATCGCCCTCCACCTCCAAGTCACTTGGCTCTGTCATATCCTCACATGGTCTCTCCTATCATTGCTACGCAGACGACACACAATTAATGTTCTCCTTTTCCCCTTCTGATAACCAGGTGGCGAATCGCATCTCTGCATGTCTGGCAGACATATCAGAGTGGATGTCGGATCACCACCTCAAGCTGAACCTCGGCAAGACAGAGCTGCTCTTTCTCCCGGGGAAGGACTGCCCGCTCCATGATCTCGCCATCATGGTTGACAACTCCATTGTGTCCTCCTCCCAGAGTGCAAAGAACCTTGGCGTGACCCTGGACAACACCCTGTCGTTCTCCGCTAACATCAAAGCGGTGACCCTATCCTGCAGGTTCATGCTCCACAACATTCGCAGAGTACGACCCTACCTTACACAGAAAGCGGCACAGGTCCTAATCCAGGCACTTGTCATCTCCAGTCTGGATTACTGCAACTCGCTGTTGGCTGGGCTCCCTGCCTGTCACGCCCTGACTCAGGGGACGCTTATATGTTGAGTCAGGGTGTGTATATTCCTTGTTGTGCTTTTTCTATGTAGCTTGTCTAGTATGTCTAGATCTATGTTGCCCGGTGTGGTTCATTTACATTTTAGTCATTTAGCAGACGCTCTTATCCAGAGCGACTTACAGTTAGTGAATACATTTTTTATTTTTATATTTTATACTGGCCCCCCGTGATTGGTTCCCAATCAGAGGCAGCTGTCGCTCGTTGTCTCTGATTGGGGACCTTACTTAGGCAGCCTATTGGCACTAGTGGGTTGTGGGATCTTGTTCCAGTTAAGGTATGTTGTGTTGTGCTGCCTTGGACTTCACGTTTCGTTTTGTTTGTTGTTTTGTCGTTGTGTTTAATATTTAATAAACATGTATGCATATCACGCTGCGCCTTGGTCCGTCCCGTTCATGAACGAACGTGACACTGCCTGTGCCATTAAACCCCTACAACTTATCCAGAACGCTGCAGCCTGTCTGGTGTTCAACCTTCCCAAGTTCTCTCATGTCACCCCGCTCCTCCGCACACTCCACTAGCTTCCAGTTGAAGCTCACATCTACTACAAAACCATGGTGCTTGCCTACGGAGCTGTGAGGGGAACGGCACCTCCTTACCTTCAGGCTCTGATCAGACCCTACACCCAAACGAGGGCACTACGTTCATCCACCTCTGGCCTGCTAGCCCCCCTACCTCTATGGAAGCACAGTTCCCGCTCAGCCCAGTCAAAGCTATTCGCTGCTCTGGCACCCCAATGGTGGAACAAGCTCCCCCACAACGCCAGGACAGCGGAGTCACTGACCACCTTCTGGAGACACTTGAAACCCTACCTCTTTAAGGAATACCTGGAATAGTATAACAGTAATCCTTCTACCCCCCCTCACCATAAAAAAATATAATAAAAACAATTAAAAAATGTGGGTGGTTGTCCCACTGGCTACCATCAGTTGAATGCACCAATTTGTAAGTCGCTCTGGATAAGAGCGTCTGCTAAATGACTTAAATGTAAATGTAAATATAATGCTGCCTGCCACCACCCAGCACAGTCCCTAGTGATAATGACAACTCTCTCTGTTTCCTCACGCTTAGTGTTTTTGGAAAAATGAGAACATTATCTTTCACATGGGGAAGAAAACATCCAAGGCTGCAGCTCAGGGATTTGTAACGACAGAGGAAGAGGAGGAGGAAGAAGAGAGAAGTGTTTTCACCGGGGGAAGAAAGATGGCCATGCAAAGGGAGGAAAAATCGATTTCACATGATGTGGGACAGATTAGATGTGACCTTGGAAGGCATACATCCAGGTATTAAACCCTAACCCTACAGAGAGTGGGACCTAGCAGACACGTATGTAATGGAATGGTATCAGGCCCAGGGACACATTCTCTAGTCTAGCACCCTTAAACCACGTTATACATTTCCACTTCTTCCAATTTCACCACATCGATACGAAGCCCAAACAGCTGGAAAATGAAACGTTATTGTGGCTGAGCGTCTAAAGCTGAAGCTAGGCAGCTATCACATTCACAACACTAAGCATTTTAGATGGTAGGAAGCCATTAGTGTATTGATTGACATCCATCTTTACAACAGGGGAATGCCTAATGATTCAATCACTTCACCAGACCACAACACTCCTTAATCCAAACCGATAGAGAAATTAAATAACTATTGTTTCATAGCAATAACCATTAAGCTAGTGTACTGGACTGGAGCATCTCGGACCCCCTGCTAAGCCATGCAGAATCAAACTCTCTCTGTGTCCCAAATGGCACCCAATTCCCTATGTAGTGCACTACGTTTAACCAGGTCAAAGTAGTGATTTGGGGCATATTCCCAGTCTCACTCTTCATCCTCCTACACATATCATTGATCACCATAGAAGTGAAATCGACCTCCGACCTAGCAATTAAAGGTGCACTATGCAGAAATCGCACCGCCATTTTCCTGGTTGCTAAAATTCTAATAGTTCGCCTAATTTCAGTTTATGTGACAAAACAAGCAAGTATAGAGCAGAGAATCATTGTACCATCTAAACCGCTGTCAAATATATTTTCCATAATATTGTATTTTCAGCTGTTTGAAAATTAAGAACGGGAAGCAAAGAAATAGTGCACATAGAACAGCTCTACCGTTTCGTAGACTTGCTTTCAATGAGAATGACAGATCTATAACTCACATTTCTACATACTGCATCTTTAAGCGTTAGATTCAACTTCATCAGAAGGATGAGCTCTTACCTAGCTATACAGAGTGGCAACTTATCTGTGTGACTGTCCATGTAGGAGCAGTGAGCCCCTGGAGCCACACAATGGTTACATCCTGGTACTAAACACACAAAGCCTATGGGTCAAACACACAAAGCTATGGGTCAAGGTGTGTGTGTGTGTGTGTGGGGGGGGGGGGGGGGGGGGGGGGTCTGGAGTGTGTGTTTGTGTGTGTGTGTGTGTGTGCGTGCATATGTGTGTGCGAGTGTGTGTTCCACTGTTCCATTGTCAGATGTAAACGGAACAATCCAGCATGCTATCTTCTCCACTGATTGTGTGAGTTTCTCCAATCGATGGCTGAAATGGAGAGAATTGCGTTTAAAAGCGTATCCACCTCAACAACCTCATTGTGAGACCAGTCTTCTTTGTTATACTTTAGACAAGGTTTCTTTGGGGTAAAAGCTATTAGCCAATAATAGCTGTGTCAAAATCAATTAGAGCATAGCCACTGATTGGGCTATCCCATCCATTCACCATGAAATGAAAGGGGTCGTATGCTTGATCCTTTGCTATGAGACTTATGTTGTGCTGAATCCGTGCTCGGTTTGCCGTGCAACCTATTCTTAATTAATTAGCTTATCGGTCCATTCTGGCCTCAGGCTCTAATTAAAAAGAGAGGGATGGAGGAAGGGAGGGAAAGAGGGATGTGGAGGAACGAACAATAGTCCCTCTATGACCACTGTGATGGACAAATCAAGATGGAGGACAGAGAATGGTGTACAAGTTCTCGGCTTGTTAAAATGTCATCATCTGGCTGTATCTTCACAGCTGAAATGAGTTCAGAGCTGAGAGCTGTTGACACTGTACGAGGTTGGGGCGGATGGATACAGAGTGTTCCTCCCTGTTCATATTGAACAGCTCTGAAGCTATTACACAGTGTATTAACAGCCTTCCCAGCCCACAGCTCTCAGACTGCAATTCCATTCTGCCTGCTTGCATGTATTATAGCCAGCTCTGGGCTTGGTAGCAGCTAGCTAGGGAACACTTTGAAAATGTTTGAAACTCCCTCCCTTCTTCAGTAGAATTGCTCTCCTTATCTACTCTCTCCCTTCCTCTGTCCTCCTCATCTCTCTCTCTCTCTCTCTCTCTCTCTCTTCTCTCTCTCTCTCTCCTCTCTCTCTCTCTCTCTCTCTCTCTCTCTCTCTCTCTCTCTCTCTCTCTCTCTCTCTCTCTCTCTCTCTCTCTCTCTCTCTCTCTCTCTCTCTCTCTCTCCCCTGTGTTTTTGTTTACCTCAAAATGCTTGTAAGACTGTCAGCTGCAGATTGCCAATTACTTGAAAGCAATGTGTTTAAGTTAGATTGAAGGAGCTCAGAGATGTCTGGAGGGGTGAGTAGAGCTGGAGGTTTCTCTCTGCAGCAACAATTACAATCACTACAGTAAACAGTCATGGGTGTCAGGAGATACCTCACCTGTAAGCACGCATGCACACACACACACACACACACAAGTGCACAAACACACACATAGGGCCAGAGGATACAATGGGGATTAACCCTGACCTGCCTGGGTGTATTTGATTGACTTGACAGGCTGTCCATAGCAAAACAACATTGACATTGGGTCTGATATCTATTCTGCGTCTGACAGTGACAGATAATGGCTTCAGGTCATAACCGCTGAATGAACCTTGGATGTCCAAAAACATCCCAACATAGTTCGTTTTTATTTGTTAATGAAACCAATGTCCTGCCTGTCTTTTTTGGCGGTCAGTTCAACCCCAGTCACAACCATAATAATTTGTATTTCTATGATCACAACCTTATGGCTGATGACGACATCACCATGCTTTGACTAACACTAGTCAATTCTCTGCATTTGCCTGAACTCATGATGTACTGTATATGTGTTAAAATACTGGCCTGAGGCTCTGCACTGGCAGACATGACACAATAACTTTATGGGGGTGAGAGGGCTCAGGGAAAGCCTGCTGGCTATTCACTAGTGCAGGGTTTGTCAACTAGGTTTGGCCTCGGGGCAAATTTTTTATGAGCTAATAGTCGGCGGGCAAGAACAATATTAGCACAATTAATTGGCTTCCACTACAAATTGAACAACATTTTTAACACATCTGATTAGGACATAATACATTCAGTGACAATAACAATAATTTCGATCTGATTACGCTCATAAAATCATGTCTCTATTAAATTATTATTTTTGTCTATTTCTCTGTGCGTTGATTGGTGGGGGAAAACAGATCTACGTAGCCTACTCTAGGCTACACTACTTTTTTTACATCAACATTCGTTCAGAACAATTAGCTTGATAGCAAGAGAAAATGTTGCTCTCAAAAGTATCAAAAGAAAGGTGGATAATGACAATTGAAGTTCCAGGGAAGAATAGACAGATAGATATGTGTTCATCTTACCATCTTTTCCCAATGCCAAGCCACTGTGTCTTATTTGCAATGAAAATGTCGCTGTTTGCAAAGAATTCAATCTCAGACGTCATTATGAATCTAAGCATGAAACTTTCAAAGTGGCCTTCCCGCCCCAAACAGAGGACCGACGTAGAAACATTGAACCGTTAACTGCTACACACATTCATACACATTACACATATGCACACACATTCACTTCTACACCCATCATTTGCTGCTGCTGCTCTGTTCTTTATTTTACTATTATCTATCCTGATGCCTAGTCACTTTACCCTGCCTTCATGTGCATATCTACCTCAAATACCTTGTGCCTCTACACATTGATCTGGTACTTGTACTCCCTTTACATAGCTCCATTCTTGTGTATGTTATTTTATTCCTCTTGTGTTACTAACTGCATTGTTGGGAAGGGCTCGTAAGCAAGCATTTCACAGTAATGTCTAGGACCAGAGCTATGTAAAGTTCCGCTCCCTCTCCTCAGGTCATGTTCTCTAACCCTGGCCTCTTGCCCTGCAGATGCCCTCACACTCAATAACACTGGGGCCGACCGCGTGACATGGCTGCAATGCCAGCGTCCCTTTCTCCCTACAGGCTGACATGATGCCACGCTGTCACAGATGTGGACACAGATGGAGAGAGAGCAAATATGATCATACAAACAACATCTGGCAAATATGTTTAGGCAACCAATAACATTTTATTTTATTTGAAATATGATAATGTGCACACACACAGCCTCCAGGACACAGAGATGCACATAGATACACAAGCACGCGCACACACACACACACACACACACACACACACACACACACACACACACACACACACACACACACACACGCAAGGGAAGTAAGTACTGCTTTCTCACACACACACGCACACACACACATACACTGGCAGGCCAGCAACATAGACAGATCTCTGTGTGGAGGTTGGCCTTACCTTTCCTGATGCAGAGGCTCCTTGGTCCATGGACAAGCTGCAGGACACACAGATAAATGGAACACATTATTACACTGTCCTCATGACTCATGACAGTTCACTCCAGACACACAGATATCACTGCCAGCATTTTCTAATTTCCTGTCCACTCTGAGAATATGTGGACACACACAAACGCACGCACACAAACACACGCATGCACATAAACACACAAACACACACACACACACACACACTCTTCTTTAACTAACCTTGTGAGGACACACAATTCTTGTCCCATTCTAAATCCTATTTTCCCTAACCCCTAATCCTAAACCTAAACCTAACCCTAACCCTAACTCTAACCCTAACCCTAACCCTAACCTTAACCCCAAAACCTAAACTAACCTTAACCCTAAACCTAACCCTAGCTCCTAACCTGTACCCTAAAACTAACCCTAGCTCCTAACCCGTACCCTAAACCGAATTCTAACCCTAACACTAATTATAACCTTAACCCTAAACCCCATAGAAATAGCATTTGAGCTTGTATGGACTAACAAAATGTCCCCAGTTGGTCAAATGTTTATTTGTTTACTATTCTTGTGGGGACTTCTGGTTCCCACACATATAGTTAAACACGTCCAGCTGACCGTGACACTGTAACACCCCCTGCAAGCTCACGTTAGGCAGAGAGCCAGACATTAGTGATGAAATGCCCTGGTATAAAAACAGCTACCTTGCAGGTTTCTTTCTCTCTCTGGTGTGTGACCAGCGCTCCAAAGCTCTCTTAATCAGGAGAGCTGCATTACAGCAAATGACATTGAGGTGGAGCAGAGCACCACACACACACACACACACACACACACACACACACACACACACACACACACACACACACACACACACACACACACACACACACACACACACACACACACACATACACACACATACACATACACACACACACACACACACACACACAGACACACAGACAAAGACAAAAGGTATGCTTAGACACCAAGCTGTTCAGAGGTTGTGCTTCATTTGCTTGGGGTTAGTTGGGAACTGACATTTTCATATGATTGATGGGTTAAGTGGTAACATTTATATTCCCTTTTTTTCTTTCTCTATTTCTTGTGGACATTGTTCATGTCTGAGTGAAGTTTCTATTTTGGGCTTTTTTAATGTATCTCACTTAACATTTCCCCGGAGTGACACTAAATAACCTGGCACCCATGGAAAATCATTTTAAATGGAATTTTATGGAAATCTTTCAACTGAATTTACGACACATATGTGCCTCATGAAATGCACACAGAATAGATCTACAGTACAGGCAGAATAGATAAACAGGTACTTGTATCTTTCATCACAATGCGTAGAAGTCCAACATCTTTGTCTTTGTGAAAGTGATTCTAGTTTATTGTAGCAATCTAAGCAGCCTATAACATAATTCGTTTTTAGACCATGAGAAAATAAACCGACTCAAAGCATGGTCGTTGGGGCCAGTAAAGACGGAAAAATTGTGCGATGCCCTCTTGAAATGGCACATTAAATCCAGCGCTTGTGCCACCCGGAGATTCCAATTTAATTAGCGAATCTTACTTTTAAATACACCGTCACCCCCTCCACCCATCTCCCTCCACCACTCTCTCTCGCTACTGTAGCTTCCCTTCAACAATCAAGTACCCCCTTCGCAATCCCCTCGTCTGTATCAAACATACCCAAACCTCCATCTCACCCTTCCCTTTCCGTCACCCTACTCAATCGCCTTGACTATACCCACCATAGTCTCCCTATCCCTCCCCTCCCCCCTCTCTCTTACCTGTACAGTCATACAGAGACCCTCTCCCCATACCTCTCCCCACCCCCCTCCTTCCCCATCTCTCTTACCCGGCCACGCTGCCACTGGCGGAGCTCTCTGCTATCTGGGAGCTAGTGATCCACTTGGTCTCCCCCACCACCGTCCTGGCGTGCGGCAGGCGCCCCACATCCTTCACCGTCATCATCAGGTGGCGCGACGACTTGAGCACGCGCACCGCCTCGTCGTGGGGGATGCCCACGAAGCTGCGCCCGTTCACCTCCAGGATCTGGTCACCCACCTGGGGGGTGGGGAGGGCATAGAGAGGAAGGGCTGGTGGGCGGACTGGCATGGGCAGACACTGGGTTACAGTACACAGGTCAGAGGTGACACAGTGGGGTTAGAGCGGTAGAGTCCAGGTAGAGTACAGACGAGAGTGGTAGATAAACAGAGTGGGAGTTAGATTGGTAGATTGATCAGTGCTGAACTTCACAGGGAGGTATAGTGCCTTCAGAAAGTATTCACACAACTTTACTTTTTCCACATTTTGTTGTGTTACAGCCTGAATTTAAAATTGATTTTATTGAGATTTTGTGTCACTGGCCTACACACAATACCCCATAATGTCAAAGTGTAATTATGTTTTTAGACATTTTTACGAATTAATTAAAAATGAAAAGCTGAAATGTCTTGAGTTAATAAGAATTCAGCTCCTTTGTTATGGCAAGCCTAAATAAG